ATAAGGACGATGTGGACGAGCGGGAGTCGGAGGTGGAGGAGGAGAAGGGGAGGAGGAGGGAGAGGAGGAGGAGAAGGAGGAGCAGCAGCAGGAGGTGGAGGTGGGTGGAGAGGATGGGTATGAAGGTAGGTGCAAAAGGGGGAGGATGAGGCGGGTATGAGAGAAAAGAGCAAATGGACAGGCTTGGTACGCTCGCGCCGCATTTGACATCCCACCCCTGCCACCCACCCCTACTCATTTCGTTGAGTCCTCGTCTGTCCGCCGAGCGGGCTGTTATACAAAACGTTGACCCCGAAGGGCAGTACGAGAGCTTGCCACGGCGTCGGCCGTTCATCCGGCGGGTTTGGTGTTTTTTGGCATGTTGGACATGGAGGAGGAGTTGCAGCGTGGGGGCAAAGACAGGGGACGGCATCGCCGACGAAGGGGTCTGATCCAACAGTGCGTCCCGCGCTCTGCCGGCGGCGCTCACACGGGGGTCGGCGCGAAGGGGGGCGAGCGGCCCTTTCAGGATTAAGGGGTGCTTCTGAGAAGCCGAACCCCTTTGCCTCATCAAGGCCGCCTGACACGGGAACCGCGGGAAGGCAACCTTACCGCACACAGGTGGCCTCGCCAACGGGAGGACCATCCGCAGCCAAGGACCCCCTTTCAGGGGGCGAAGAGTGGCCCACCCGACCTCTGCACCGACCGCCGCGCCAGCGAGCCGCAGCTGCTGGACCAGCCAAGGGGACGGGGGTTGGGCCCTTCCAGGGGTCGGGGGGAATTTTGGATCAGAGGGCTCAACCGAACGAAAAATGTGCCCCCGTCCCGACATGCAAGCAGGGCCGAAACGGCCATGGCTCTTGCGAACCCAGCTCCTTCGCCAGGCCACCGCTCAGGGCCTTGACAAGTTTCGTACTCGCTCCCCCCACCCCCGCATAATCACTCCCACGACAAGCTGCAACGCGATGAGCTTAGAGGGGCCGTTCAGGTACTCGAGGGGGGTCCGCTGCAGGCAAGAATCGCCTTGGTCGTCCGTCGTTGCTCCCCAAGGCCTCCTTCTGCTGCATGTTGATATCCCCTGCTTGGTGCACATACTTGCCCATTCGAATGACGCCTTTCATTGTGCACGTGAGGCGAAACATCAATTTTCCGAGCGTGAGGCTGAACGTGACATCTCGAATCCACTTGGACGAGCTGATCCCTGCCCCGTGAACTAACATCGCTCTCAGACGTGCTGCAACTCTTTTGATCTGCTTGAGCTCTTTCAGGCAAGACTCCTCGAGCAGCCACGGACCAAGACCGTCCAGAACTGCGGACAATATCTCAAACGACGGCCATTTGCTTGGGTTACATGCAGGTATTCCTGGCATGCTGCCTGTCCCTTCTCCGCTGTGGAATGCACATTGGGAAGGAACAGCTGCGACGTTTCCACGTACCCTAAGCTTCGAATGCAACTCTCGAGCTGCAGTAGCAGTTTGTCTCTGGTTCGCTCAGGGGCCTCCTCCCTTCTCGGCTTCTTCTGACCCAGCGCGGACAATGGATACCCGGAGATCTGCCAGCTCATCACTAATCTCAAAGCCAGATTGGGATGTTGAAAGTACGGATTGATATGCCCGAGAACGTGCTGGCAGAAAGCCTTAGGGAGGAGGAGGAGGAGGAGGAGGAGGAGGAGGAGGAGGAGGAGGAGGAGGGGGAGCCGTCGGCACCAATAGTGCACAGGCGACGCTCAGAAGCAGCAGGCTTGATCTCACTGCCACTCCTCCTGCGGTCGGCCCCTCGCTTCAGGCTGGCGAATGTCAGGAGGGACAAACAAAAACACACAGGCACGATTAATCGTCGACTCTCCATAAAATATGGGAAACCATGGGAAGTGTGGGGGGAAGCCAGAAGCCCAGAACATATGGGAACATCTGGGGCATCCTGTTATGCGTGTCTATGTATTTGTGTGTCCCAGGGCTCCTTCATAACGATGTTGCCATGTGTTCTTGAGCTTGCGCAGGGTCGGTAAACACACTGCCACACGTAGCACACTGGCTGGAGATGCAACAAGCCCGAGCTAAGACACAGGCACTGTGCTCACCTCTAGGATCGTGAGCGATCTGTCAGCTTCGCCTCGGGGGTCTCCTGGAAGGCTGGCTGGGAGTCTGAGCCCACTTTGAACTCGCCAAACACCACCGCCAATACTTGAGCTGAGGAGTCGGGGTGCTCTAAGAGGTCCTAGAGCCGCTTGATGTGGCGCACTCGGAGATCAAGGCAACGAGGAGGGATGCGGAACTTGGCGAGCACTTCCACGCTTGAAAGATTGAGGGTATGGCCCACCGTGCCTGCCCAAGCAATAGCACAGAGCACTCACTACCCGAGCACGCTTTGCCACGACATGTTCACTGCGAAGTACATGGTGTTCTTGTTAAGGGCCCGTGGCAACGAGCTAACTTCTCCATCCCAGGCATCACTGCATTTCGCACATGTGCTTTGATAAAGCTCAGTTTCCATGTCAGGGGTCTGTCGACGTCCAAAACAGTCTTCTCTTCTTGGGAGCCGCATGCCCTGCCGCAAGACTGAAGTGGTTCTCTTGGCCCACCGCGACGCAGCAGAGAGCCAGACGCCCAATACAGTTTGCATAGACGACCGTGCGATTTTGCAGGTCGTTATGCTGCACTAGAACGTATTCAGGCCGATACCCTCCATTTTCACAGCTAATTGGTAGCACTCCTTGCTTGCCCACATGTCGTTTAATCCTCCCAATGGCTTTGAACAACACTTGAACTCAGGAAGTCAGACTGCGAGCGAAACTGGAAGGCGTCCGCCAAGTCGTCGACAAAAGCGTAAGCACCTTTGCTCTTCCGTGCGAGAAAGGATGCGATACCATGTGTCTATTCAACGGTCTGCTGCTCTAGATGTTGTTGACTGCCTCGAGCGGGCGAAACCACGAACAGGTGACTCAGAATCGGATCGAATGCCATACACCTCTCCCCCATTTGAACCACATTGCCACTCGGGCATTCCACGAAACGGACAGTGTTGAACCTTAAGACGGTCCAGCATGCACGGGGCGTCACCACGGTGTAGCACAACGCTTGTTTTTTGTAGCAAGCATTGATGTTTAACGCGCATTGGCTTGATCGTGAATTCGGTGAAGGTGTTGCATGTTCAGTCTGCACATTCGCCAGGCAGAACAGGTGACTAAAGCAGTTTTATCGGCGCCGATGCGGAAGGTTTCCGTAGGCCCTGGATGTTCATCAATCTATTGCGATATGACATTTTGCCCATGGTAAGCCATCATCGTGATCTTCTCATCTTCCACCCATTCCTTTGCATTCGCCTTTCCGATCCTCGTTGCCAATGCCCGCAAACAGGCAAATGGTCGGTAGCCTCAGACATGTGCGAATTGGCCGAGGGATCAGGAAGAGAACACTGTGAAACTTCGGGAAGGTGAGCTGGCTCGTATTTGCTGGAAATCCTACTCCATGCTGCTTCTCACGCGTCTTGGGTTTCTGCGCGAATTAGCTCGGTATTGGAGCTCCGCTGCGAGCAAGCTTTCCACAGGCGAACAGTCCTCAAATACCGATCCAATTTTCTCAAAATCCTCCCAGAGACCTCCTGCTGGAGTACCACCAGGCATCAAACAGTGTTTCGCTCGGTACTGCTGGAGTGCCAGTTGAACATCATCCTTTAGGTCATCTCTTCTGTGGTTGGTTGCTCCACTCTTTCACCGTACCCTTCACTCTGAGCCGATTCGCCGTTTGCATCGGCTTCATCTATCGCCGTGTCCGAATTGAGTCCAGCAATTCGCTTCTACTCCAAGCTCAAAGGCCGTTCAACTTTTCGCAAGTATGGACCTTTGGCCAGCCTCTCTTTACCATCATGGACAGCTTTTTTCATTCAGCTGCGGGGTCGCTCTGGAAATACATGTGCCTTGTGATTATGTGCACTAGATGTACCGAGCAAGTGGTACGTGGTCCCAAGGTCAATCATGATTGGGTTGGAGTCCCCATGCGCTCTTCTGGAAGGTTCCGCGCCATCTGCATGATCAGCCTAACCTCGAGTGACCAAGACATACTCAAGCCCTTTCGGTACACAAGTTGTTCCAACGTAGGTGTCACTTGCAGGAAACTCCATGCTCACGACTACAAAGGTGCGCGCCAGAAACAGTGCTATCACATTCGCCGTGGTGTCACTCATCCTCCCCGTGCCACATACGCCAGTCGCGCCTGGTAGATCCTCAAATTGCCCATGGGCCTGAAATATCAAGACTGGCGAACAACGTCCAGACACAATTGACAGAGCGACCGTGTGGGTCCACCGCCTCTTCAGCGCATCGGAAGAAAGTAGAGATCAGCCACGCGCAGAGGGGGGAGGGGGGAGGGCTTCTTAGAAGCTCCCCTGCTTCGTAGAATGCGCGGGCCTTATCTATAGATGTAAGGCCGGCGCATTCTAAGAAGCAGTCTCCTTCTGAGAAGCCCTCCTCCCTTCCTTCCACCCCCTTGTGCGCACCGCCAAAGAGAGCAGAAACAGGAAGCCGCATCCCGTCAGTCGAACTCCTGCGGCTCGACCCTGAAGATCCTGGAGAGCCTGGAGGCCCCGCGGTTGGGCGAATCAGCTACGCATGCGCCCGGTAGCGATGAGGCGCTCTCTGATGCCCATATTCGTTGCGCAACTGTTGTGCGCACGTCCAAGGGAGACATGGGGGCACCGTGTCCAACGAAACTACCTGGAAGTTGCCGGTTCCCGCGGTCGCCTGGCTCACTACTTCACCTTGAGGGCGGTGCAGTGCGCGATTGGGAGCTGGCAGTAACGGCTTGGAGCGGTTGCTAAAGCCCATTGGCGACGGCCATTTTTTTCTTTTCCCTGCTTACGCGCCCTTTGGTGCAAGGCACACTCACTCACTCACTCACTCACTCACTCGCTGATCCTGCTCCCACCCCCATACGATTGGCCAATGTCGATGATTCGTTCTGGATTGGAGCTTGTACTCCCCTGCTCTGTGCGTGAGTCCAGACAAGACCCGTCATGCTGTCACCATGGCGCAGTTCTTCAACGATGTCTCTGCTGCGGGCCACGTTCGCTGACTGCAGGCTGCACCGAAGAAGTTGCACACCACCATTGGCGCCCGATGCCCTCTTGCCTACAGGTGACGATCTCCATGCCGTGCTCTAGCCTGTCATTCTGAAGGCCGCGGGCGCGGTGGGCAGCCCCTCCATGTTCGATGCAGATTGCAACCTGTTCCACCTCCCCCTCTTCTCCTCCTCCGCCCCCCAGGCCTTTTGCCCCCTCTCCGCGCGGCGCAGCGTCTGGAGTTCACCCCGGAGCGAGAAATCCTGTACGGACCAACGAGCTCTTCCCCCCGTCCCCATTCCTTGATATCCGACGTCACGGAAAAACGGAGCATCGAAAAACATCACGAACGGAGCCTTGGACCTTCTCTTCTTGCTGCATGTGTCCTAGCTGGATCGATCCGTGAGGGCCCAGGCGCCCGACATGAGGCAACACCGCCCGACCTCGGGGGAGAGTACCATTACGAACGACAGGTGAGGCACCGATCCAGCATACGAAAGCCAGCTGCCGACGCTGCAGCGGGAGCACCCACGAGACGCCGGACATCTCTGGGAGACTCGTCGGGGGAGATGGGGAGCAGTACCACCAAGACGCTGAAGTGCCCAATGGTAGTCGAAAGTATGGATGTTGGGGGCCCCCAGATTCCACTCTACTCCAGGCACCTTCCTACTTCGAGGGGTCGAGTGGCTTTGACTCGGGGATGTCGCCGCCGAGTCCCAGAGACCGGATGCACTGATCTTCTCATGCGTCAGTATCGGTCATCCGACCCCCGTCCCCGTCCCCATCCCCTCTTCGAGACCCCCACCAAATTACCCCCCCCAGTTGGGGATACACCCTTCGAAACCCGAAGGGAACGACCTTTATCCCCATCGACGGGGGACATCGGCCAGTGGGGCCCAGGCAACGCCACTGGGCATGGGGATCGGTGAAACGACACTCAGTGCGCGGCCTCGGGGAGCCCCGCCTCGCTCCCCGGGGGCACCGCTCCTCGTCCCGGCGCCCAGCTCTGGTGACGGCCGCGCCGGGCCTGCCGAGGGCCTCCCGAGGCCGCTCTGCACGAACGAAATGGGTACGGAAAGATCGCTGTCCGCGCCGCCGCGGCCTGTGTCCATTTGAGACAGAAGGCCGCCTGCCCAACAGCGGCCGCTGCTGGTTTGGGGCAACATCTGTTGTTGGGCATTGAGCCCATCTTTTCCGTACCCATTTCGGGCGTGCAAAGCCGCGCGCGGCCAGGAAAACAAGAACGCTTTGTCTCTTGTCAAGCCGTTGGAGGGCTGGATCGGCGGCGAGCCCGGGAGGGAGTGAGGAAGGAGGGGGCCATCGCGTCGCACGCCCGCGCGAGGCGCACGCACAGCATGCAGCAGCACGCGCGGCGAGAGCGTGCGAAAGCGCTCGAGCCAAGTCGTGCAGTCCTGTGCGAAGGGCGAGCCGAGCAGGCAGCAGGGTCGAAGTGGCAGAGCAGAAGCGAGGCGTGCAGGACAGGAGGAGGCCCTCCGGAGGAGTTTCCTGGGCCCTCTCCGCGAAGGCGCCGGAGACCCCTCGTGAGGCGCGTGGGCTTCTGAGAAGTCCCGCCGCCCTCTGAGAGGGCCTTCCCCTTCTCATCGGGGGCGGCAAAGAGGCTGGTGATGACTAGGGGTGTGTGGATATCACGGCGTGGGCCATGATATTTCCTCAGATTTCATGGCGTCTCGTCTTAGTTCATTCCGTCCCTGGCCCCTCCCCCCTGGGCCGCGCACATGCCGCCTGCCACGATGTGCCCACACCCCCCCTCTGGGACGCCCCCCCTCCTGGCCGCTCCCGATCTCACTTCTCCCCCGCGCTCGCCGCCGACAAAAGCCACCCGCCTTTGGTCAAGTCGTACTGCGCCCCCGTGGGATGCGCATGGCCCTGATTTCTGTCAATCCGTTGGAGGCCCGGGGATCCCGAGGCCGGAAAACTGCCCATCGCCGACGACAGCGCACGTCAGCCTTGACATGTCGACCCACCGCCGAAGCGCCGCCGTCGTCGCCGCCGAAGCGGCTCTGCATCCCGCGTCGTTCGCTGACGGCCCCTGGGCCTGGCGAGGGCCCCGAGACGCCGAGACCCTCCAAACACCTCCGCCAGGATCTCTTCAATGCGCTCGCGGGGAATACTCTGATGGCCTCCGGATCGTCCCGGCGCCGTGCCTGGGTTGTGGGGACAAAGAGTATTGAGTGTGCGTTGGAATCCGTGGGGGGCTTCTCGGGGGCCTCTTGGAGACAGTTTGGAAGCCTCTTGGGGGGGTGGGGCGTGTTGGGCCTCTTCGGGACTCTTTTGGGCCTCGTTGGGGCCTCTCGGGGCCTCTTGGGGCGGAAGGTTCGGATGTTCGGTTCGTGCTCCCTGTCTTGGGCTCTTTTTGGGGCCGTCTGGGGGCCCTCTTGGGCCGTCTTGGGCGCCGCTTGGGCCGTCTTGGGGCGCTCTTGGGCTACTTTGGGGCCCTCTTGGATGCCTCTTGGGTTGGTCTTTTGGGCCTCCTGGGCCGTCTTGGAACGTCGAAGCACGCCGAACAGGCGAGAGCGCCAGAATCCTTCAAAAACCTGGGGAGAGTCAATGCTGCTTGCCTCTTGGGGACCTCTTTGGAGGCTTCTTGTGGCGTCTTGGAAGCCTTGTGGGCCATCTTTAGACCATCTTGGGCGTCTTGGAACGATCTTGTGGCGACTCGAGGCCTTCTTCGAACATTCTGGGGGCCTCTTGGAGCCATCTGGGCTCGCTTTGGGGCCCTCCTGGGCGGGGTAGACCGGCGCGAACGATTCCGGCGGACCCCAGGAAAGCCCGGGAAGCGATTGGTCCGGGCCCTTCAAGACTTACAATTCTGGCTCCAGCAGCAGCAGAAACAGCAGCCGTAGCATAGCCCCCTCAGTGCCGCATGAGCCTTGGGGCACTCCACTTCGTGCCGGAGGCACGGTGGCGGATTATTGGTATCCATATCCATATCAACGGCGTCTTGAATGTGTTTTGGCATGAATGCCAACAACCCGAGACGAGGTGGATGTGGATAAACATTTGGCCCTGCTCGAGGCAGACTTCTTGTGCACACCTATTGCGTCCCCCGACTTCCTGGGGAGGGGAGTCCTCAGAGCGTGAGTCACCTACCCCGCCTTCGCTTCCAGGCACAACCAAGTCATACCACGCGCCTCCCCGTCGAGTGGCCTGGCCAGTGCGTGCCGTAGTTTGGCATCGCTTGGTAGCTCTTGGAAGCGAGGGTGGTCAAAAGCGAGGTAGGTTCGTTTGCCCCCTGAGTCCACACATCCGAGACGCGCAGCGCCCGTGTGTATCTCATCCTGCCCGCCGTGGCGAAGCTCTGGGGCACGCCGATGCCCTGCCGAAGCGCCGCCGCATGCGGCCGCGGCGGCGGCCGGCCCCCGCTCGAGGTCTGGGCCTCCACGGCCGGGGCCGTCCACAGCTCCATCGGGCCGCCGGCGCCGCCGGCGCGGGCGCAGCCGGCGGAGGGCGGGCCGCGGGCGGAGGATTTTGCCCCGGGCGAGGAGCTGGAGGCGCGCGGAGGGCGCTCAACCTGATTCGACGACACTTCAGTCGCGCCTGTCCCTCTACAGGAGGAGTAGCCAAAAATGGTCAAACAATAAATAGTCGGGGGGCAATGTTTGTTACTAGGTTCGAGCCTGTCTCGGAGCATTTTTGTCTAAGAGCAAAAAAACACACACAAAATTGTTCGTCCAAGATCCCCCTGTACAGGCCCTCACGACTGCACGTGCCTAGGAGTGGCCCTTCGCCAGCGTGGCCTCTGGTGCGGGCCCGCTGGGGCGCCTCGGCCGCGGAGCGGGAATCGGCGGCGGGGGCTTGCGCCCTCGGGTTCGGCCCGCCCGCGCCCCCCCCTGAAGCCGCGCCTCGAAGGTCACGCTTGCCTAGGGTTAAGTCGGGCCTGTCCCTCTACAGGGGGGAATATTCAAAAATAGTTTTTTGTCAACAAAAAAACAAAAACAAAAAAAAGTGAGAGGACCGTGTTTCATTGTTTTTGTCAATGCTGGCACACTTTTTGAGGACTGTTTATGTTTCGTCGCAAATCCCCCTGTAGGGGGACAGGCCCGACCTAACTGTAGCCTATGAGTACTCCAGGCCTCCAGGTCGGGTCCGAGGAGATGGGGTCGGAGAGGATCGCGCCGTATCGCCCATGCATCGGCGGTGCGGCTCGATATAGGGACCGACTTGATCCACGCCGACGTCGCCGATGCATCGCCGACGTCGCCCAGGCATCGCCAATGCATCGGTGATGCATCGGCGATGCGTCGCAAACCTCCGACCCCAACAACTCCGACCCCAGCCGGGAGGCCTGTATATAAAGACGCGGGCCACACATAGCGAGTCGAGGGATGAATGTACCCGGGCTGCGAGGAGGCTCGGAGGGCGAAACCATATCCATATCCGCGGCCTCGTGGGCTGGGCCCCTGTGCCGAGACCCTGTGGATGTGGGGCGTGTTTGCTTGCGGATGCCCCGCGCGGCTCGTATCGGTGCGACCGCGTATCCGCGGGAGCGCGCCCCAGAATCCAGATAACGAGGGAGCGGATGCGCATATGTTCGCCGCTTGTGAGAGGCGCTCGGAGGGCGCCAGAATGCTGAGTAGACCCAGGCCGCGAGGAGGCTTCGCCGTACTCTGCCAGATGGAATGTTGAAAGGCGCCGCGCCACGAGAGGGCCACCAGGTGGACACGAGGGGTGCCACGAGAAGGCTACGAGAGGGCCACGAGGGGTTCCACGATTTCCCGCACCAGATCGAGTCCTGGAAGGCGCCGCGCCACTAGGGTATACGAGGGGCCACGACGATGGGGCCCGACTCGCGCTACCGAGCGGAAGGTTGCAGCCTTCCCCACGAAGGCTACCCAGGCGCTCGGAGATGTTTTGTTGTACCCTGGCATCGCTCGGACGTGTGCATTTTTCCTTCGGCGAGGACCATCGAGGAGCATCCTTGACCATTTGGCGAAAAAAACGCACGAAACCGAAAAAAGCACACGGAATGGACGTCCGAGCGATGGCGAGGTACCCCCTGGCGTGTATCAGTCGCCACCCGGGCCCCCCCTCCACGCCATGGAAAAACGGTAGCGATCGTGGGCAAAGGGGGGCTTGGACGCCCCCATGCATGTTGGTGTTTCGTTCGCGCGCTGTGGCGCTCGCAGCGCACCCCCGCCCCGACGTGCCCGACCCCGCCCAAGCAGTACCATTACTCAGGGCCCCCCCGGCCCCCCAGGTGACGCCCGGTACCAGAAATAGTTACAATCAATTATTCGCAGGGCGCACAGGCTCTACAGATCACCCACCCTCTTCTTGTCGCGACAGAGTGCAGCAGAAGGTATTGTAGTGGTCTGCTCATGTGTACCCTCGCCAGGCCTCAGGATCGTCCGAAAGCGGCACGCGACGGAAATTCGGTCCTTGGGAAAAGGTCCAGACCTTGTGGCATCGACGTCGTTAACAAAGTCGGAAACTGGAACGTATACATTACCAGTGGCGGGCCGTTTTTCAATCCCCGGATTTTTTGAGGGTCGGGGACGACGTCGGGGTGGTGTGGTGTACACTTGTTTCCCCGTTGTCCTGGGGAAACAGCGCAAAGTGTATACACCAGGATCCCGTATACAGGATCCGCTTTCCTGTGCGAATGTCAATGCGGGGCTGGAAAAAGCGTCGGTGTATAGAGTTTGCCTCCTCACAACTCTGCACGAACGAAAATGGGTACGGAAAGAATGGGTACAATGCCCAACAGCAGTTCCTGTTCATTTTGAACAGGACTCGCTGTCCGCGCCGCCGCGGCCTGTGTCCATTCGAGACAGAAGGCCCCCTGCCCAACAGCGGCCGCTGTTGGTTTGGGACAACATTTGTTGTTGGGCATTGTACCCATTTTTTCCGTATCCATGTCGGGCGTCCAAAACAAAGCATGGTGCAGGAAATGTGTTCAGGGGGGCGCGGCTCGAGGCTCGAGTTTTTCGAGCGCTTGTTCTGGTCCTTGGGCGGTCTCCCCGCCGCGGGGTTGCGTTCCAGCGGCTGCGCTTCGCCTCGGGGGCGGCCAAGAGGTGGGTGATGACCGGGGGGTGGGATATCATGGCGGGGGCCATGATATTGCCCCAGATTTCATGGCGCCTCTTCTGATTTTTCATTACGTCCCTGGCCCCCCCGCTGGGGCCGCGCACATGCCGCCGGTCATGATGTGCACCCCCACCTCTTGGACGCCCCCCTCTTGGCCGAGGTATGAGATCGAGGTCGGTTCGGGGAGGGTACCCTGATGTCCTTCGTGTATGTATGATGTTCTAGTGCATCCTGGGGAGGTACCCTTTGATGTTCTGTTAGTTTTTGGCCGACGCAGGGCCTGAGTTTCTCGATGGATGTTCTTCTGGCCCCGTTTCGACTGTAGCCTGATTTAGGTCCCCGTCTTTGCATTAGGAATGGTTGCTATGGGTGGTTTGGTTTGATGTTTCTGCGGAAGAGAAGATACCCCCAAATCCCATATGTGGCCATCGCATTCGGTTCGTTCCCATAGGGTTCGGGGTCCTTTTGTTGTGAATCAGGTGTTTCCTCACCAGCATGGCGCTGATGGGTTCCCCACGACGGCGTGCCATTGTTATTGTTTTTTGAAGCCCGAATCGGTGCACCCAGACCCCCTCCGCCGATTTATTCGCAACATTCACTCCCAGAGATTTCGATTACTTCCCCGGGCTAGTTGTTCAGCATGAGTCGTTGTTTGACTGCCCTGAGGCCCTGCGAGGGCCCCGAGGGGCCGAAGCAGTCAAGCACCGTCCGTCGTGCTTCTGTCGCGACGCGAAGGGGTCTGGGTAGACGCCCTCCTGATCTGGCTGGGAGAGCGTGAACACCTGTTTCGGTCCCAAGATTGGCTCGGCTTCACGTAAGAGTGACCCTTCGCCCGAACGACCTTTGCTGCGCGGCTTTTGAGGGGCGCGGGAAGATCAAACTCAAGCGCACAGGCCTTCATTGTTGCACCGCATGCAGCGATTGGCGAGCCGCGCACCAAAGATCACCCTTGCCTAGGGCCTAGGGTCACTGTTTCGGTCGGGGCTACGACAAGGATAAATCCGTTCCAGAGCGTTCCATAACGCCCCTCAGAGCGTTCCCGACACTGAGAAGGCCGCGGCGACCGAGCCATTCTCCACAGCCGCCGGATCTCGGAGATTCTCGACTGATCCTCCTCACCCGATGTTATCCTCGTCTTGGGCTTCGTCCTTGTGTAGCCGATTGGCCAGGCCAGGATCAGAGTGTAGGTGCATAAAATGGCGCTTCCCGAGGTGTGGAGCAACTCGCAGCAGAGGCGCGCGCGGAGGGGGGGCGAGGAAGAGGGAGAAGACGAGGACCGCGAGGCCGACGACGTCAACGACGAAACGGAGCCAGCCCCGGGAGGCCGCCGGTTCTGGCCAGGGGTCTCCTCGTCGCCACGGCTCGACGCGGCCCGACAAATTTTGTCAGCTTCGAGCACGGGAGGGGTGCGGAGAAGGATTTGGAGCGGTTTGAGGTCTGCCCTTCTTCTTGGCTCGTTGTCTCGGGGCCCATGCAGCGCAGACACCCGGCCGTTTCCAAACGACTGCCATCTTGCGCACATGTGATTGAGCAAGTGGTGTCGAGCTTCGCCTGTCTCTTCACCTCCCGTGTTTCCGCCCCTAAGTCCATGAACCGAGCAGCAGTTATTTGATTTGTTCTCATTGGGGGGGCTCATACCAGCTCATGGGAGAGGCACTCAGCACATAGCATATAGCTTCGTTCCTGAGTGTAGGAAAGCATCCGCTCAGGGCGCTTGGGGTTAGATTGCGAGGGAGTGTCGAGCGTGACCCGTTGTCGTCGTAGTTGGGCCTTCGCAAATTTGACTGAAGTACTCGAGTTGGTGGGCCTCTCTGGCCAGGGCGTCAAGTATCGAGAAGGGCCGGTGTTGTCGCAATTGCGCCTTCACCAACTTGATTGGCTTGCGAGATCTCAGGGGAGAGCACCAGTCCTGATTTTTGGGCCTCTCTGGCCAGAGCGTCTCGGATTAGGTTGTGGCAAACTATAGGGTGGGAACCGTTGCCGTCGCAGTTGGGCTTTCGCGAACTTGATTGAATTGCGAGGATGTCTTCGGAGAGAATGCCATTCCTAAGTGTGTGTGGGCCTTTGTATTGTCAGGAAGCCAGAAGGGGAGTCGAGACGCCCTCGTCCTCCCTGGCGCACCTTTGGTTGGAATTCGGTGTTGCTTGCATTAGATGTCATTCAATCAAGCTTAGTCTTGTCCACCCTAGCCCATCATGTAGTCTAAAATGCTTCTTGAGCTCTGAAAAAGGATACCTAGAATGATTCCAACCGCTCCCACGAAGACCTCCAGGAGGTCCCAGGAATTCTTCGGAGGATCCCAACAGCGCCCCTGGAGCCCCCTGGCCAATTTCCAGAGGTCCAGAGAGGACCGACAGCACGCCCAAAGCCTCTACCCTCTCAGCCCTCCCCCTCCCTCTTCCTCCTCCTGCTCCCTTCTGCTCTTTGCCATGTAGTCCCAACTCGGGCATTGGTGCCGACACTGCGGGCAAGGAGCAGGTTGTTACGCATGTGCAGCAAACCTCCTTACACCCTCCGCCTCCTACTATCCTTGGCCTCACGCCCTGGCATCGGGAGCGTCGTCGTCGTCGTCCGACAGCCTCATCACTCTCATCCTCCTCATTCTCTTCCCTCCTCCTCATCCTCATCCTCATCCTCATCCTCATCCTCCTCCTTCTCCCCCTTACTTTTCCCTCCGCCTGCGGATCCTGCTGTTCCCCCTCGTTTCCCCTTCTTCTCTTTCCTCCTCCCCCGCCTGTTCCTCCTCCCTCTCCCTCCTGTTCCTCCCCCTCCTGTTCCCCCTCCCCCTCTCTCCTGTTCCTCGTTCCCCTCCTGTTCCTCATCCCCCCCTCCCTCCATCCCTTTTCCTTATAGATTTGCCCGCCCGGTCCTGTCCACAGGCGTGTTGGTAGGGCGGAGCTTGGCGTGTCGCTTGAAACCTTGTCACCATCTGCAATTCCGAAACTGATTTTTCCAACAGAAGCACGGACGGAGGGATGTCCTTTCCAAATTGGGTCTCTCGCCGCAGCGCCGCGCACACTCGTTTCAGAAGGTTGCAACGGTTCCAAGATGCGGGAGGCGGTGTTCAACCTTTGCTTCCCGCCCTGGCACTGCGCACGCTCGCCTCAAAACGTTGCAGCAGACGCGAGGATGGAGGGAGGTGGCTTTCAAGCTGGGGCTCTCGCCCTGGCGCCGCGCTCGCTCGTCTCAAGTGCTCGCAGCAACTTGCTGGAAGGTCACAATGGGGGAGCGGATCCCGGTGCTCTCGCCGCAGCGTCGCGCGCATTCGTCTTGTAAGCTTGCAGGAGTTTCAAAGGCGGCGGGCGGTTCGGGGAGGGTGCCCTCATGTTCTTCGTGCATGCTGGATGTTAGTGTGCATCCTAGGGAGGGTACCCTCGGACCTTCTTGTGCGTCCGGGGGTGGTCTTCTGTCCCAGGTCCGAATGTAGTTATCACTCGAGGCTTTCCTGAACTTGAACGACAGGGGTTGACCAGATGTAACAGCTGCACGGTTGTAGCGCGGCTCCGGTTGTTTTCCAATGTTGTGCGTTCGGTATAACGTCGCGCAGATGTTGACCATATTTACAATATTGTGTGACCCGTTATACATAGATCGCGTACACGTTCTCATATTGAGTTAGGTTTGGAAACAAATCATCGGTGGGTTGAATTTATGGCGGCGATGTTGCACTCACCGTAGTTGTGATATCGGTTTAACAGCCTGGGCCAGGGGGTCAGGGGAATCATATCTTCACTACGACAGTTGGGGCTCGCAATGAGATGTCAGCTATTCCTTAAGACATGACCGTTGTGTGTTGCTTCCCTGTTCTTTCACATGCACACGTCTTTTTACTCCACTTGATGCGGGCGGGTTGGCTGGCACGTTCAGAGTCACGTGGGAGAGTAGCATTGCCGTCCAAATGGCGCGCTCGAAGTTTACGTTTTGAGAGGCACTTGGGAAAAATAAAGCAAATGTGCAAGCCGACGGATTATCCTCGGTCAGTGTTCCTTGCTTGTGCGGATTGGGGGGCGGCTCATTTGAAAACGGTATGTTCGTTGGACATACCTTGATGATCTGATGATCCCAGCTTGTCGCGTCCTTCTACAGATCGCTTGAAATCTGCTAGGAACGTCACTTTCAAGATTGGGCTCTCGCCCGACTGGCAGGCGCATATGGCGCTCGTCCTCAAGGGGTGTCTCTTGTGGCGAAGGGGATGGCATGCGAGAACCCACGAGGAAGGATCCCTGGGACGGGGGGGTGCACTACAGCATCGCTGATTCCTCCTTTGTTTACTCTGGCCCTCCTCCGCATCCTCCCTCCCCTCCCCTCCGGCATGAGCTGGTTTCGCCGGCGCTGGTTTCGCCTACGCTGGTTTCGCTGGCGCTGGTTTCGCCGACGGCTGGTTTCGCCAGCGGCTGCTTTCGCCGGCGCTGGTTTCGCCCCGCTGGTTTCGCCCCGCTGGTTTCGCCGGCCGCTGGTTTCGCTGGCGCTGGTTTCGCCGACGCAAGCGCGCGGACCCTAGCGGGGAGGTCGGGTCGAGTCGGGCGGGCGGCCCTTGACGGGCGGGTCGGGTCGGGCGGGCGGGACATTCTAGTGTGGGGCACGCTCGACCGAGCACGCGCGAACCTCGACGGCTCAACGGGCGGGTCGGGTCGGGCGGGCGGACCCTAACGGGCGGGTCGGGTCGGGTCTGACTGGCGGGTTGGGTCGGGCGGTCGGGACATGAAAGTGCGGGGCGCGCTCGACCGAGCACGCGCGAACCCTAACGGGCGGGTCGGGTCGGGTCGGGCGGACACTAGCGGGCGGGTCGGATCGGACAGTTTCGCCGACGGCAGCTTGTTTCGCCGGGCGGCGAAACCAGCCGGGCGAGACCAGCCGTCGGCGAAACCAGCGGTTGCCCCCCGATCCGCCCCTCCTCTCCGCGGATCTTGGTCGACCCAGGTGCTGCCCGCCCGGCAGACCTGCCTGCCTGCCGAGCCGTGCTCTGTGCGCTGGGGGGGCCGGGGCCCGTGCAGCCGTCGTAGAGTCTTTGCTCGCAAACGAGCCGCTCGGCGGCGCCCGCCGCGAGGGGCCTCGCCTGGCCCCTGGCCATCGCCAGCCTGGAGGACGGAGGAAGAGCACGAGGAGCACGAGGAGGACGGGGAGGAGGAGGAGCAGCAGGAGGAGGAGGAGGAGGAAGAGGAGGGGGAGGCGGAGGAGGAGGAGGAGGAGGAGGACGAGGACGAGGACGAGGAGGACGAGGACGAGGACGAGGAGGACGAGGAGGATCAGGCCATCCCTAAGACTGGGATCACCTGATCTCGCAAAGAGTGTCTTCGCCTTTGGGCCCGTCAATCCTGGGGACAGGGATGAGCTCGAGGCTGGCAAGACCGGGCGATAACGAGGGCCGCCCGACCCCAGCGGAGGCACCTCCGCAGTCTCCATGAGAGATCCCCCCTCGACGCCTGGTGGCTTCCGGATCATAGCTCGGGCCTCCGGCGGCCGTTCGGCTCGACCTGGGTGCCCCCGGGATGCCCCCGCGGAGGCACAGCTGCTGAAGGGAACGAACTCCGAGGCGGGACACCTCCCCCCCCAGCGTGTCCCCCAAAACCGCCGAGAACCTCTGATCCTTGATCCTCGGTCCTCTTCCCAGACCCCCTCGCGTTGTGACAAGAATCGGACGGTCGGTGTTCCGCTAGTTTCGGCCTCTGGGTGCCCTTGCCGGGCCTCGGGACTCAGATAACGGTTCAGGATGATAAATTGGTCCCGAGGAAGGGTTCGAGACACTTGGGGGTCGACGTCGTGCACAAAAGTTTCGACGTCGAAGGTTTGTCGGCCCGTTCTGGAACGCTATGAGAGGGCCGCGGCGTCCGAGGCATCTTCGAGAGCGACGGGATCTCAGAGAGTCTCGACTTGTGCTCGCACGGTTTGATCCTCGTCCTGGCTCTGTCTGATAGTCTTGGCCAGGTGCCTCGGGTCCGAGGAAGGAGGCGCGAGGGGGCGGGCCTTCTCGGAAGGCGGCGGCGCCTCTCAGAAGCCCCCCAGCCCTCCGAGAAGGTCCCCCTTGTGGCTGGAGCCACCGTTCAGGAAGAATTTGAGGAGGCTTCTTAGGATGCTTCGTCCCTGCGCTTCGGGCTGGTCGTCGCTCCCCCCTCGGCCTCGCCTTCCTCCTCCGCCTCGTCCCCCTGTCGCCCTGCTAGGGGCGCGCGAGGTCAAGACCAGAGTCGACCCCGACCTCCGTGGACAAAACAAAAGGGGGGAAGCTTCTGCGGAGGAGGCGGCCCGCCCTCCCCCCCGACCCTCCCCGGCGCGCCGCCGGCAGGTGGGTGCCGGCCACCGTGGTGAAGGTCCTGACCGGCAGGGACGAGTCGGTGAGCGGGAGCCTTTCGGTATAGCCAGGACCCCAGGTCAGGGGACCCGGTTAGTAGTAGGGCCCCGGAGCCCTTGAATGTGCCAGAATCACTAGACCAGGTCTGACGTAGCTGGTGTTTTTTCAGGTGACGGCAGTTCCGGTCAGTGGAACAGGGCGGGGGGGGGCGTCCCCCAGTGCACATCAGTAAACCAGGTCCCATTAAACCCAGTCCCGCCAACGCCCGAAAAGGGGGGTCAGCCAGAGCGCCCGATCCTGCAGGATCTTCCTGCAGGGCCACGGGGTCGCACTGGCCCGGGCTTGGGTGCAGGATCATGCAGGATCCTGCAGGATCCTCCTCGTGGACCCGGGCTTGCGTGCAGGAGCCTGCAGGATCCTGCAAGGCCTGACTGGCCCGGGCCTGGATCGACCCAGGCCAGCAGATCCCTCGGGGGCGGCAACGAGGGGGGTGATGACTAGGGGGGGGGGTGGATATCATGGCATGGGCCATGATATCTCCCCAGATTTCATGGCGCCTCTTCTCATTCCAATACGTCCCTGGCCCCCCCGCTGGGCCGCGCACATGCCGCCGGTCATGATTTGCACCCCCCCCTCTTGGACCACCCCCCTCTTGGCCGCTCCCGAGATCCCCGAGGTGACCGTGAACTTCGAGTCGGAGCAGGGGGGCGTGCTCAGCAAGACCGTGCCCATCGCCCGCCCCCCGGGCCGTCGCGCCTGCCTCCGCCGCGGGTCGGCGCCGTCGCCTATGCCCTGCGGCTCGCGCCGTGGCCTGTGGGGGTGGGCCGGGGGAGCCCTGCGGGCCGAGCGAAGGGGGTCGATGGGGAAAGGGGGTCGAATAGGGGTCGATAGGGAAAGGGGTCGATAGGGAAAGGGGGTCGAATAGGGGGTCGATAGGGAAAGGGGTCGATAGGGAAAGGGGGGATAGGGAAAGGGGTCGATAGGGAAAGGGGGGATTACGAAATCTGCTGCATGCGGCTGGTTTCGGGCCCGCCGCCGGGCCCATTTCTCGGTACGTGTGCGCCTCCCGGCGCCGGGAGGCGCTGGGAAAATCATCTACGTGAGCTGATTCTCGACCCTACCCTTTGCTAATCCCCCCCTTTCATTCCCCCCGAACCCGGAGATCCTGGCGTCGCAACTTTTTTCACAGCGGGCGATCCTGCCCTGTCTCGGGCCCCGCGGACCTCACGGATCGATCGGGCTCCAGATATGGCGAAGAAGGGTGGGGTCCATGGGGTCGGGCCGAGTTTTAGCGATCTGTTTTTCCTGACGTCGGACTTCGGGGGAGGCCGGAGGGGGAGAGTCCCTGGCGATTTTTCTCCCCCACCCCCAACGTTTCGACGAAAAATGAAGACGCTCAGAAAAGGATGGAGACCCTGGGATACACCCCAAGGGGGCTATTCGGATGCACCCCTACCGAGGATGGACGCCCCCCCTCGTGTAACCCAGGGTTGGGCCCCAAATTTATGATTCATCCGGAAGCGCCACGACGCCTGGGATAGGGGTCGACACATCCTCCTCTAGCGAGGGGTTGGGTGGGGAGAAGGAGGAGAGGAGCAGGAGTGGGAGCGGGAGGAGGAGGAGGAGGAGGAGGAGGAGGAGGAGGAGGAGGAGGAGGAGAGGAGGAGGAGAGGCGGAGAGGAGGACAGAGAGGAGGAAGGATGAGGAAGTGGTCTGGACGGCGATCGTCCTCACAACTATCTTGTGACTTCCTTATTGAGTGATTGAGATCGCTTATACTCTTCAGAATTCGGTCGTCTGACTCAGATAGGAGGAGCGCGGGTAGGAGGCCTTGCTACGTGGCGAGGCATGAGATTTTGAGTATGCGAGAGATTCCCTTGCCTGGGGGAGGGAGGGGGGGAAGAGGAGGAGCTTCGTCTTGGATTGTGCTCACGAGAGGCTGCACCGCGGGGGAGCGCAACGCATGCTGGTCTGCTTCAGGAGGGAAGAAAACACACAGACACAATTCATCGTCGATTCCCCCGAAAACATGGGAAACTATGGGAAGTGGGGGGGAAGAAAAGAAAGTCGAACATATGGGGAATCCAGTTGTTTGTGTCTATTCATTTGTGTGTCCCAAGGCCCCTTCATTGCTCGCTGACAGCTCGAGGTTCGAGGCGGAGCGGGGGAGGGCAAGGAGGGGGAGGGGGAGGGGGAGGCCGAGGAGGGTTGCTGGTGGTGGTGGCCAGCGTGGGGCGCGAGGGGTCCTCCAGCTGCCTCTGTAGCATCCTGGGCCAGCGCGCTCACACGACACTCCAACTGCACAAGTTACACTTTGCATGTGCCCATCGCGGTCCTGAACCAGCTGACGAGGACGAGGGTGAGCGGGCGGAGGAGGAGGAGGAGGAGGAGGGCCTGGAGAAGGAGAGGGAGGAACTGAAGGGAGAGGACGAGGAGGAGGAGGTGGAGGATGCGGAGGAGGAGAAGGAGGAGGAGGAGGAGGAGACCGAGGAGGAGAAGCAGACCGAGGAGGAGACCGAGGACGAGGAGGAGGATGAGAAGGAGGGGGAGGGCGAGGACGAGATCGAGAAGGAGGCTAACAGGCAGGGGGGGCGAGGACTGGGAGGAGGAGGAGGTTCTGGGGATGGAGGACCTTCCGTCCTTCCGTCGTCCTTCTCGCGTCGCCGTCCTCCCTCCGTCTTCCGTCTTTCGCCGTCGACGTCACGAAGCCCACGCGGATGCTCCTTCTTTCGCCGCTTTCGTCGATGCTTCATTATCCTAGGACCCAGCAAGAGCGACCCCATCTTTGCAACGGAATCCTTGACGCCTCACGTATCCCCAGAAGCTCAGCCAGCTTCCCTTCAGCTGCAGCCCCACCGGCGGCTGCTTCTGAGTGCGGCCTCGGCCGCTTCGCTTTAGGCTCGCGCGTGGCCAATTTGGCAGGCCCGTGGCCCGGACCTCTCCTTCGGCGACTGCGTTTTCGCGTCCGCCCGCGACCAAAAAAATATCCCCAGAAGCCCATCCAGAGACGATGCCTTGGCGAGCTGCCTCGGTCAGGCAGGTGCAGGAGGAGCACGCAGTGGGACAGAGAGGCGGGGCAGCCGTCAAGCCGAAGACTGGGATCGGCCCGAGCAGTGCCCGAAGTCAGCCGTCAATGCCTTCGCGAATCTGTCGATGCGGGATCATCTTGGCAGCTTATTTGCTCCAGCTTGGGAGGGATTCCTCTTCCCCCTCCTCCTCCTCCTCCTCCTCCTCCTCTTCTTCCTCCTCCTCCTCCTCCTCCTCCTCCTCCTCCTCCTCCTCCTCCTCCTCCTCCTCCTCCTCCTCCTCTCGGGCTGTTTAGTCCAATCCGCGCTGGCGCCGATTGTCTGTCGCAGCGAATCACGGCAGTATCCATGAGTGTCCTTGCCTGCCCACGCGTCCTTCAGGATGCATGGCCTTCTTGCTTGGGGTAGTGCGGCTGGAGTCGCGCCTGCGCCCGTTTGTGCTACCCCTCGAGGCATGCAGCCGTTGCTGCTGGAGAGCGCCCCGAGGAGAGGAGAACCTCCAAGAACCAACGGACATTTGCCCCTGGGCGCGCCGGCCGCCGATGATGGTCACGTGTCGACCTCTCAGATCCGACGTCACTGAACGAGTGCAGCACCATAAACGAACTCGACCAGAGCCCTGGACCCCCTCTTCCTGCGGCGTCTTTCGAGCCTGCTCTAGCCGTGATGGTCCCAGGGCCCGCACCGATAGGGGGCCACGTGCGAACCCTATCCCTACCCCCCACGATACCCCACCCTCCCCCTCAGAAATCGTGGGGGGTAGGCGTAGGGTTCGCACGTGGCCCCCTAACCGAGGCAGCGTTTCCCGTCGTGGAACAGTTGCGGCGCCAGGATCTCGGGGCCGTCGGTCGACGTCCTCGGCCCCCCCGCAGGGCCGCGCCGAGGCCCGCCGAAAGGCCGCCGAAGGGCCGCCGAAGGGCCGCCGGAGAGCCGCCGAAGGCAGCCGAAGATTCTGGGGGCCTCAGGGTCCGCAGCCGCCGAAGGCGCCGCCCGCCGCAGCCCGGCCGCCGCTTGCGAGGGCCGCGGCAACTCGGCCACCCTGCTCGGCCGCCGCTCGACCGTCGCCGCCGCCGCAACCGACGCTGATGCTGATGCTGATGCTGCTGCTGTTGCTGATGCTGATGCTGATGCTGATCACAGTGCTGTTGATGATGTTGATGATGATGATGATGATGTTGTTGCTGGTTGTGGTGGTGGTGATGATGATGCCGATGCCGATTGTGATGCTGATGATGCTGATGATGATGCTGATGCTGATGATGGTCATTGTGGTGATGATGCTGGTGATGGCAGTGATGATGATGCTGATGATGATGGTGGTTATGATAATGATGATGATGATGCTGATGAAGTTGATGATGATGATTGTGGTGGCTATGCTGATGCTGCTGATGATGATGGTGATTGTGATGGTGATGATGATGATGCTGGTTATGATGGTGATGGTGGTGCTGATGCTGATGGTGATGGTGACGGTGATGGTGATGGTGATGATTCTCAGGCTGATGCTGATGCCGACGAGGCGGAGGATGATGTTGAGTGCGATGTCGACGATCATTATGATGATGTGAAGATGATGATGATATCGATGATGACGATGGCGATGATGCTGCTCATGCTGATGGTGATGTTGATGATTGTGATGGTCATTTTGATGAGGATAATGGTGAGGGTCAGGATGTGGACGTGGATGGACAACATGATGAAGGACGTGTCACTGATTATGTCGAGGACGATGCGGGTGATGCTGCTGATGATGGTGATGGTGATGTTGATGGTGATGCTGATGCTGATGGTGTTTGTGATGAGGATGAAGATGAGGATGAGGAGGAGACGACGACGTCGATGTCGATGATGATGACGATGATGATGATGGTGGCAATGATGATGAGGCTGAGGAGGATGGTGATCATGTTGATGATGGTTGTGGCCATGCTGGTATCTGTGATGAGGACTAGTTCATGGTACTTGTCATGATACGAATATTGATGGAGCTTCCAATGACGATGCTCACGGAGAGGGTGATGACTGTGGTGATTGATGATGATGATGATGGTGATGATGTTGCTCATGTTCATGACCATGGTCTGCTCATGACGATGATGCCGATGATGCTCATCGTGCTGATGATGCTACTGATGATGATGATACTTTTGATGCTGATGATGATGTTGGTGTTATTGACGTGTAAGATGATGTTGGTGATGATGCTGATGCTTGTGCTGTTTGTGATGACGATACCTGTGATGATGAGGGTGCTGATGATGATGTTGATACCGATGATGATGATTGGAATGTTTATGTTCTTGGTGGTGCTGTAGTTGCTCATCTTGATCATGCCATCGATTGGGTTGCTGAAAACACTGACCTGTGTCTATGATGATGTTGGCGATGCTACATATGCTGATGATAGCGCTGGTGGCTGTGATCGCGCTGAGGGTGAGGAGGATGAGGAGGATGATGTCGATGATGATGGTGGCGATGGTGGTGCTGGTGATGAGGACTGTTGGATGGTAAGTGTGTTGGTACTGATTTTGATGATACTACCGGTGGTGATGCTGGTGATGGAGATGATGATGACGCTGATGATGATGATGCTGATGCTAATGCTGATGTTGATGCTGATGCTGACGCTGATGCTAATGCTGATGCTGAGGCTGCTGAAGATAATGATGTCGATGCG